CATGCTGAAAGACGTTACACAGGAAAACATTCTCATGGGGGGCAATAAGAATGGTAATAACAACCATATCTGCCTCCCCTCAACTCCTTCAAGTTCACCAGGAAGCTGCAGAGGTCTGGCATGCCAATGCCTGATTCCTCAGTTCACCTTACACCCCCCTTCAGGTATGTGCTCCTGACCCCCTTAAGCCCTTAATTAAAAACTGAAAAGTTTAAAATTCGCTTGTTCCGCGTGTTTTTTGGCTTGATCTTACTCTTAAGTGTTCTTAAAACACATTCCCATTGTTTTCGGGCGGTTTGCGGTTGAAATTAGCGGTGAATTTCGCGATTTTTCGTTCGCGGATTTTGGCTCGAGATACGCCGAAACGATCGATTTTTACGCGAAATGCGATCCAAAATGAAAAAACTAAACGGTTCGTTCGATTCCAGGTTGTGAGGGGAAGATCTCCTGCGATTTTCGAGAAGTTTCACCGTTCGGTTCGCGAGTTTTGAACGAAAAGGTAATTCCCCTTAGACTCTTTAACAAAATCGGATCAGATCTGATCCAAGTGCATCTTTCCAAATTTTTCAGTTTGCAATTAAGAATGGCAAGTTTCGCGGTGTCCGTGCTGTTGGTGCTGCTGGTGGTTCATCCTGATGGGTCATCCGGCAGATGTCACGTCCAAGATGGCCGCCTGCATTGTACGGAGGCGTGCGACACGGATGCGGTTCGCGCTTCTGAATTCGGCGGCAAGATCGTCCTCACGGGCCGAGTTCTGGATTTTGGCTGTCTTGACTTCTTCGGCATAACGGTTGGTGGATGAGAACAGGTTTTTGAGCTGTATTTCATCTTGTTTTGGTGTATGCAGAAAGTTGAACTGTTGGCTCCGACTCGCTGCGAGGGGGTTTTTCGTGCTTCATTGGTCGATCCGGTGGACCTTTGCATGACCGGGCAGATTACGACGAAGTTACCATCTTCTTCATCACTTCCCACGCATGTTCCGAGTTCGTCAACGATGGTTCCCGTTGCATCGACGGAGCCGGTGACGTCAACGACGGCGGCTTCTTTCACTTCTTTTTCGACGGAGGCGCCATCTGTCGTCACTTCTGGGGACACTGTGGTCACACAGGGCCCTATTACAGCTTCGTCTGTTGGAGTCCGTATGTTGACGACGTTCATGACTGAAATGACAAAACAGACTACGCCTGCTCCTAGTAAGAGCTTCCATTAGAACTTTCAACGAGTTTTTTAAACAAAAAATACGTTGCTTTCTAGTGACGACCAAGCCTTCCATCATAGTTTCGGTGTTAAAAAATCTTCCTGAAACCCGAATTCACTCTGGGGATCATGCCAACATCACTCTAACGGTAGTGGAAGGAAAAGCGGTCTTGGGCGCGGAGTTTGCTACCAAAGTATTCTCTAATTGGGCCGTTGGGCTGATTAGTGGTCTTGGCGTGACGGTTTTTGGTTTGGCTGCTGGGTGGATGGCCTGGTGTTTGAGAAAAAAGGTACTTTTGCCTTTTTTATTCATCCTTGTTACCCTTAAACACCTTGTTGCATGGTTTTGTCTTTTAACCACTTTTAATTACTAACAGTATTGTCCAAATCTTTGTCAACGTAAGACCTCAACTAAGTCCAAACAGAGCATTGAAGAAATTGAAATGAAAGATCTATCTCCTGGAACTGTGGTGGTGCGTGAAAGTACTGTTAACAAAATTCACGATGGATTTGCAACTATTAGATCACGCATACCTCGCATGACGACCTTCAAACCTAGTAAGACTTTACTGAATAAAAAAAAGAGGAAGCTTTCCTGCATGATTGCATGTCTCCTTGGGTGTTTCCTTTTGTTCTTCTTCTCCAGCCTTGGCTGCTGTCATACCTGAGGAGGGCGGAAGAGATATGGCGAATCCTGACACCACCGACAACTCCAGCGTCATCTCCTTTACCACCGCAATCGTCGGTTGATGTGGTACCTGATCTCATTTCGTTGGATGCAGTTCCAGAGATTCTTCCACCTCCTATTGGCTTTGTTTCGGAATTTGAACCTGCAATTGAAGAAGCTCAAAGTTCTGTGGTTAATGTCAGTTCTGATGACTTTGTTTCAGTCAATGAAGAATAGGCGTGTAACCTGTTAGGAACTGAAAAATAAATGAGCTTTGCA